GGCAGCAATTGCACATAGCATCTGCCTTGCAAAGACTTCATATTGAGCTGCATTGGGAAGTCTGTGATTAGACAGCCACAGAAAGCTTGTGCTGGTGAACAGGAGTGGAGCTTCCAATAGTTAAAGAAACGAAATCTACAGCTATTGCAAGCCAATATTTCATATACCCTCAAAGAAAACATGTAAAACAAATTAAATGCATATTTTCTTTGAGCATATTTACTATGTTTTTTTCTTTTTAGACGGAGTGTTCCTTTAATGGGATACACGAAGTATAAAACCAATTTTAGCTTAATGAAGCAGTTTTGGTGTATAGATAGTGTCCCTGCCATTTCACTGCTCAATTCACTGCCATTTAGGAGTTGTCACTTTTGTTTCTGCTTATGCAGCCCTAGTCACACAATTACATGTGACAGCACAGTGTGTTCACTTTAAAACTAAGAGCAGAAGATAAGAAATTCTTAATTAAACAGACTGTGCCATAAATGAAGTTTAAACATTAGATCTCTTTTTACAGGAAGTGTTTAGGTAGGGCTGTGTCACGTGCAGGGAGGTGTGGCTAGGGTTGTATAAACAAATAGGTTCCTCACAATAGGTTAGTCTTCAAAGTAAAAGAAATTGGTCTAGATCAGGGGTTCCCAATATATTTTTCCCGTGGAACCCTTTGACATAGTGTATCAGCATCGTGGAACCCCCTCTCTCCCCTCCACCCCCCCCCCCAAAAAAAAACTATTTGGTACCATTGTATAAACCTTTCAATTAGCAAGTTTTGCAATTTTCTTTTTTACTATATTTTCACACTAATTTCTACACGTGCAGAGGTGTATTTGAATGTACCGTATATACTCGAGTATAAGTCGAGTTTTTCAGCACATTTCTTGCTCGACTTATACTCGAGTCACTGTCCGCCGGGCTCATTACAGGAAGCGTTTACTTACCTTTCCTGCAGCTCCTGTCAGCTCTGTGCAGCTCCCCTGTCAGCTCCCACTGTAAGTCTCGCGAGACCCGCGGCCTTCAGAGCGTTGCCACGGATTACCGTGGCAACTCTCAGCACGGCACGCAGACCGCGAGACTTACAGTGGGAGCTGACAGGGGAGCTGCACGGAGCTGACAGGAACTGCAGTAAAGGTAAATAAACGCTTCCTGACAGCTCCCCCCCTGCACGGCCCATGCCACTGGACCACCAGGGATTAAGATAGCCCCCTCCCTGGCCAGTTAACAAGCAGGGAGGGGGGGACAAAAAAATAAATAAAATAATAATAAAAAAAATAATAATATTAAAATAAAATAAATATTAAAATAAAAAAAATAATAAAAATGCCCTCCTCCCACCCAGTTTGTTTGTATGAGTGTGTGTGTATATAAAGCAGAGTGTGTGTTTGTATGAGTGTGTGTGTATATAAAGCAGAGTGTGTGTTTGTATGAGTGTGTGTGTATATAATGCAGAGTGTGTGTTTGTATGAGTGTGTGTGTATATAATGCAGAGTGTGTGTTTGTATGAGTGTGTGTGTGTATATAATGCAGAGTGTGTGTTTGTGTGTATGTATATAATGCAGAGTGTGTGTTTGTATGAGTGTGTGTGTATATAATGGAGAGTGTGTGTTTGTATAAGTGTGTGTGTTTGTATGAGTGTGTGTGTGTATATAATGCAGAGTGTGTGTTTGTGTGTATGTATATAATGCAGAGTGTGTGTTTGTATGAGTATGTGTGTATATAAAGCAGAGTGTGTGTATATAATGCAGAGTGTGTGTATATAATGCAGAGAGTTTGTTTGTATGAGTGTGTGTGTATATAAAGCAGAGTGTGTGTTTGTATGAGTGTGTGTGTATATAAAGCAGAGTGTGTGTTTGTATGAGTGTGTGTGTATATAATGCAGAGTGTGTGTTTGTATGAGTGTGTGTGTATATAATGCAGAGTGTGTGTTTGTATGAGTGTGTGTGTGTATATAATGCAGAGTGTGTGTTTGTGTGTATGTATATAATGCAGAGTGTGTGTTTGTATGAGTGTGTGTGTATATAATGGAGAGTGTGTGTTTGTATAAGTGTGTGTGTTTGTATGAGTGTGTGTGTGTATATAATGCAGAGTGTGTGTTTGTGTGTATGTATATAATGCAGAGTGTGTGTTTGTATGAGTATGTGTGTATATAAAGCAGAGTGTGTGTATATAATGCAGAGTGTGTGTATATAATGCAGAGTGTGTGTTTGTATGAGTGTGTGTGTATATAATGCAGAGTGTGTGTTTGTATGAGTGTGTGTGTATATAATGCAGAGTGTGTGTTTGTATGAGTGTGTGTGTTGTGATAAAGTGAAGGCAGATAGGCCTTTTAACCCCAGGGGAAGTACGTGTAGTTTGTGTGTTGCACAACACAAAGCATTGTTTAGTTATGGGCCCCCGGGGTGGAGCATTTGGAGAGAAGGGTGGGCCAATGCTCCACTCCACAGTTTAGTGGTTTTCTGGGGAGACATAGATCCAAGCCAGGGTTTTTTGGACCGTCTCCAACCCACTGCTCAGCTGCAGTTAATGAGCTGTTGCAGTGGGAATAAACCCCTCCCTGCTAGGCAGGTAAAAGAGAGGGATTGCTGGCTTCCTCCCAGGAAGCAGGTAGGAGAGAGGCTGTTCTCTCCAGATAGAGAGTCAAGGAGACTAGGCACCGGGAGTGCAGAAAGGAAGCAGTCAAGGCTGGCTTGGAGCACTGGGAGTGCAGGAGGAAGCAGTCAAGGCTGGCTTGGAGCACTGGGAGTGCAGGAGGAAGCAGTCAAGGCTGGCTTGGAGCACTGGGAGTGCAGGAGGAAGCAGTCAAGGCTGGCTTGGAGCACTGGGAGTGCAGAAAGGAAAGCAGTCAGGGCAAGGCTGGCTTGGAGCACTGGGAGTGGAGGAAGAAAAGCAACAGGCTAGCTGGCAGAGTGTTGCTATCTAATAAGGTTGGTGCAATATGTTTTTGTTAGTTTAACCCTGATAGAGAGGGATATTCAAAGTGAGTCAGTGCTCAGACGAGCTAGGTTTTTGTTTAAAGGGAAACCTGTTATATTTATGTTTTCATTTGCTGCTGCCTCATATGTAAACTTACAAATAAAGTGCCTGGAATGAAATTGCATTAAAAGACTGTGCATGTTTTTGCCCTAGAGGACCGTGCTACCTGCTGACAAGGATCACAGTGTGTATAAAGCAGAGTGTGTGTTTGTATGAGTGTGTGTGTGTGTGTGTGTGTGTGTGTATATAATGCAGTGTGTGTTTGTATAAGTGTGTATGTATATAATGCAGTGTGTGTTTGTATGAGTGTGTGTGTGTTTGTATGAGTGTGTGTGTATAAAGCAGAGTGTGTGTTTGTATGAGTGTGTGTGTGTATATAATGCAGTGTGTGTGTTTGTATGAGTATGTGTGTGTATATAATGCAGAGTGTATGTATGGGTGTGTGTGTATAATACAGAGTGTGTGTTTGTATGAGTGTGTGTGTTTGTATGAGTGTGTATATAATGCAGAGTGTGTGTTTGTATGAGTGTGTATAAAGCAGAGTGTGTGTGTGTGTATAATGCAGAGTGTGTGTATGGGTGTGTGAGTGTGTGTGTTTGTATGAGTGTGTATATAATGCAGTGTGTGTGTTTGTATGAGTGTGTGTGTGTGTATATAATGCAGAGTGTGTGTTTGTATGAGTGTGTGTGTGTATAAAGCAGAGTGTGTGTTTGTATGAGTGTGTGTGTATATAATGCAGAGTGTGTGTTTGTATGAGTGTGTGTGTATATAATGCAGAGTGTGTGTTTGTATGAGTGTGTGTTTGTATGAGTGTGTGTGTGTATATAAAAGTCACTGATAACTTGTGTTAAACTTTTTTTTCTTAAAGTGCTCAATTTTCTTCTAAATTCTTTTTTTCCCATATCTCCTCTTCTGCTTTCTCTATTTTGAGTCTGACTATAGGGGGCAAAGCTTAAAATAATGACTGACCGGGAGCTAAAATGGAGACATCCAGTTACAGGTTAAACCGGTCTTGATTGTTACATTAAGTTAAAATATTTAACACATAACAAATATAAATTTGTTAAATATAGGTATATAAATATGTTATAATAATATTAAGTCTTGAGGATTAACAGTTCCCCTATAATTAGGAGACGTTAAATCGACACAAAATTATGAAACATTTTCACAAAGAAACAGGAAACTTGCACTGAGAAATTAAACTTTAGATTCAATTTTATTTAAATTAAATACTTTGTTGGAATTATTACGTTTTATTGGTGCATTTTCTGTGAATA